TCGAGGAATGGCTCACGGCATTTGTGAGATTCTCTGGCTTCGAAAGCTTCTTGAAGGGCTTGGGTTCAAGCCAAAGGAAACCATGAGACTATACTGTGATAATAAGTCAGCAAGAGATATAGCTGATAATCCGGTACAGCATGATAGGACAAAACATGTGGAAGTTGATCGACATTTTATTAAAGAGAAGCTTGAAAGGAAGATTGTGTCAATACCTTTTGTGAAGTCAGAGGAGCAACTTGCAGACGTTCTAACTCATGCAGTATGTAGTCGAAGGTTTGATGACTCACTTGTCAAGTTGGGCATGTGTGATATCTATGCACCAACTTGAGGGGGAGTGTTAGCGTGAGTCAATATTAGGAAAAATAAGGAATGTAAATAATAGGAGTCCTTTATTAAGTAGGTTTGTGTATATGTTTTTGTTTCCTTGTAAAGCTATGATAGCACATGTATATATTTCAAAACAAGTAATAGAAGATATTATCCCGTAAAAGTTCTATTACTACTTCCTTTGACAATTAAGGTGTGTAATAAAGAAAGCTAACCCATTTTATGGAAACCATGTTAGCTGTCTATAGACAAATAATTGTACAATCTTTCAGCAGTGTGCTCTATGTAGCTCTACAGTTCTTTTAGGATTAGTCTTTGAACAATAATATAGTAAATTTAAAAATATATCTCGACAACTACAATTTTTATACGAAAACGTGGTTGGTTTGACAACTACAAGTTTTATTTACTTGTCATACTACAATCGATTCTTGGTTGTGAATTCTTTTCTCGATTATCAAGTTGGTTGTTCCTTCTTCCTAATCATTGAATTTATAATGTTTTTCTTTACAGTGTAATGTTATAATTGATGAATAAACCATCTAACTAACACTGGTGTTGAGTCCTTTAGGGTTAAGTGGCAACAAATAGTGTGAACGATCTGTTGACTCTTTAACATGTTAACTACTCAGTCACTGACTCTGAACCTATTTCAAGTTACGTCTCGATGCTGAACACATGTTTTTATCTGTGTTAATATGTTGATTGCTTAGTACAGCATTGCCATAATTTTGTTTAAATTCTTTAAATGAAAGAAGATACTTCTTTGTGTTAGATGGATGCAATTAATGCGCCCCCGGGCACCCTCTTTATGGTGGATGTGAGATCTAATCATACTAATATGAGTAATACTACGGAAATCACATGTTTCTTTCACATTCTTATTCTATTTCATGTGATAAGTGATGTGTACAATCGACATCTAATAAGATAAATCCATTAATTGATGTGACATATACACCTAGACAGCACAAATGGGGGTGATATAGAGTGTGTGTGGCCATTGGGCATCACATATGGGATAATCTATTCTCTGATACTATGAAGAAAGTTAAGCCTAATAAGCTCATCTAATGTCCCTATTATTGTGTGATTCATTCTCAACAGTATGAAGGAGGAGCAGAAAAAAGTGATGGGAAATAAGATATTTGAGCATGGCTTATACCAAATCACCAAACGATAATATTTATTCACACAAAAAGAAGACATTGAACGAAAAGATAAAAATTAAAAAGAGGAGGGAGAAGGAGAGGAAGCAAAGGCACTCTACCTCCTCCTCTTCACCAGTGGTTAGAGATGTTTTTTCGTTTACATAGTGATATTGCTATATATTGGCAAACCCGAACAAGTACAAAGGGTACCTCTCGGATAATTTTATATTGATCAATACGTTAACTTAGAGATAATTTGTACAAACATTCATAAAGAATAAATTCCGACACGATTTCTACAAGGGGATATGAGTTTTCTTTTTTTTTTTTCACCAGAGATGGAGAGTTTCTTAGACCTATGAAATTAGTAACAATAATTTACCAGGCATGTTTTGTGGAGGGTGTTTTGGGGGCCAGGGAGAGAGGGTGGTGAAGAAGTGGAGGTTCCACTGTAAAATTAACTGATAATATAGGGAGTAATCCAACTATTTATAAGTACATGCAATGTCCCTTGTTTTCTCAATGTAGGATTCATACTCTTGATATGTTCCTTCACGTGTGGCGAATTTTTAAGTTAAACATGTGGACAATACAAATTGGGAGACGTGAAGCAGGTGTGGTTATTAGGCTTCACATAAGGGATAACTTGCTCTGATACCATGAGAAAGTTGAGGTTCCATCATAAAACAAATTGACAATATAAATTTCAATTACTTATAACCACATAAAAATGTCCCTTGCTTCTCTGATTTGGAAATTATATATACTATTTAGTCATTTTCTATGAATAAATTCATCTGGGTCTACAATGCACGTGGTTGCATTGCCTTGATCTCAAACATTTGTTTAAAAAGAAAATTAATGAAAATGACTTGAAAATTTTGAGTTTTAATGATAAGAACAAAATAAAGGATAAAGTGAATAGTACTAGGATTGACTTTTTAGTGTAAAAATATGATTTTTCGTTAAAATAAACAGTACCAGGAACTTTTCGTTAAAGTTTCCTTGTTTAAAAATCACATGAGTGCAATAGAGGCTAGTGCTCTAGCTATTATTATATTTTTTATTGTATCCTTTACATAAACGAAAACTATTAAATTGTTTGTTATTACAGTTCACAAATCTTGGTTAAGATCGATGCAATTACCCCCTAAGACCAGCTGCATAATACAAAGTACTTGAGCTGGTGCAGATCAAATTAGTCTAATTTACTATAAGGAGGTTTCTCTACTGAGATCATGAAAAGAATTGTCATCGAGTGTTGGTTACCAAAAGACTCTGTAATCGGAATCTACCTATTATTTCACCCAATAAACACGTTAAGTGTAAGATTTAATTTGTGTCAAAATGCTAAAACTTCTCTAATGAGAATAGTAGTATTCACACCCATAATATGTCAACAAAAAATTGATGAAGAATTTTATAAGTAACAAATCCGATTTCGACAGGATTAAAGATGATGTAGATGTAAAATTAAGAAATAGGATTGGAATTTTCAAGATAAGAAAAGTAATTGAACCAATTCTTATTCATATTGTATTTATTGATCACATTACCACTACTAGAGATCCAGGTAAAGAAGGGAAGAATAATTAGTTATATTAGAAATGCATGTAATTAACATTACATCATGATTTACATCTATTACAAGCACTACCAAAGTTGAATATTGACAATATTTATATTACGTATGAATAAAATACTCTATAAAAAAGTTGATGAAGTATAACCCTTTCACGCATAATTTTTTTTAGTACAATCCTTTCATGCGTAATTGAAAGATAATATTTTCAAATAAAAATGATAGGCATGAAAGTAATTTTGCACAATTTTTTTTTACTTATTTTTTTCATTATTCACATTTCATCAAAACATATCTCTTATTAAAAAAAAAAAAAAATTATCTTCCTACCCCCACAATTTCTTTCTTTCTCTCTCCCTTTCGTATTTCCTTCCAACTTCTCTTCTTACATATATACTTTTTCTTTTTAAATCTTTTATATTTATACACACGTCTACTGAACGTTTAATATTCCAACCAACCCATTAATATATAAGAAGTTTTGCTCCAATGATGCTTTATCCCCACGTTGAGACTTGAACAGAACAAGGACGAGACCAAAGCCATCGGATCAAGTGAGCTGAATCTTTGAAATTTCATCCAGCGGTCTACATATTTTGACCCCTTAAAAACTATAATAATTTTTTATCGTTAAATGAAATTTCAAAGGCTTGGATCACTTGATCCGGTGGCCTTGGTGGAAGAGATCCAGAGAGGATCTCTTCTCAACAAGGACCTTGGAGATTTAACTACCACATTAATGTCGACATATTTTTAGTGTCTGGAACACGGAGTGTTACACCACGTATCATTATATAAGTGGTGAGACTTGTTTCAGGAAATTAACAACTTTAATAATGACACATTGTATACCATCCATTTCAGCGCATAATGAAAATTTCTCCTCATATCTTATCAACAAAACCCTAAGGGCTCTCTGTTTGCCATTTATAATGTAACAATCTACCTCAAAGGCTCCAATCACACAATCTCCCAAAGGATGCAACCGTAAATGTGGCCGACAATTTTTATATAGTCCAACTGGGGATGAGAGTATTATTTCAGTATTTGGAGATAATATGATAAAACGACTTAGAGACTTTTAAATTTTTAGGGAAATTGTAATAATGGTTCTTCAATTTTAACGTAATTGGAGTAATGATCTCTCAATTAAAAATTCATGACCAATAATCCCTTAAATCTAAAACGTGCAACTATAGTCATTTTCGTCAACTCCGTTAGAACTTCCGTCAAGATGAATCACGTGCCACACATGTGAGGCTGAATCAAGGAGCAAATATGAAAAATAAAATGAGAAAAATTGTAGTAATGGTTCCTTAACTTTAACCCAATTAGAGAAATGATTCCTCAACTTTAACCTAATTAGAGCAATTATCCCTCAACTTTAACTTAATTGTAACAATGGTCCTTTCAACATGACTCAATTTGACAGAATTCTTATTGAATTGACGAAAAGAACTATAGCTGCACGTTTTGTTGAATTAAGGGACCAATGAGCATATATTTTTAATTAAGAAACTATTACTCTAATTGAATGAAAGTTGAGGGACCATTATATAATTTTCTCTAAATTTTTGGTTTAAAAAAGTAAACAAAATAAAAAATAGTAACTATTTTCCAGAACGTCAGACAAGGACAGGTAAGAACACCACTCGCTGACGACTTTAGGGTTACCTCATGGCAATGACGTCGTACAACATTTGTTTACGTGGAGGCTCATCTAGCCGTTAGTGGGACGAAAGAAGTTAATCGGGAGAAGCATGTCAGGTTGTGTCCCATGTCACACTGCCCGGAGCACAAGAAACTAAATCTGGACCGTCTAGGAGAGAGGGATTCGGATAATAACGACCGTAAGATTCAATTTGGATGGTCTGAAATTTTTACTTATTGAGATCGGATGGTGAGATAGGAGAGGATCATAACTTGTACATCAGGAGCTCCTCTTGACCCATATATAAGGTTACCTCCCATCAATCACTTTGGCCACAGCAAAGCACATACCAGAAACTCATAATCTAGAGTTGTTCCAAATAGGGAGAGAGCGATGAAGAGTGCGATACCAAATAGGGAGAGAGCGACGGAGGAATTGATCCAAGGGCGTGAACTGGCAAGTCAACTGAGTAAGGTTTTTGAAAATAGGTCATTTGTTGTTGATGGTGATGAGGGGGAATCGGCTGAAGGTATTGTTAATAAGATTTTGGGGTCATTTGTGAATACCCTTTTGATTATAAAGGGGATGGAGTCTGATCAGGAGTTTGTTTCTGATCAAATTCAAGGGAATAGTAGTGGTGTTAGTGGTGGTGGTACTGAAATTAGCGGTGGTGGTATTGGTGTTAGTGACGGTGGTAGTGGTGGTGGTGGTGGTGGTGGTGGTGGTGGTGACGGTGCAGATTCATCATCTTGGGATGCTAATCATGATCATGCGGCTGTTAGTAAGTCTGAAGATTATACTGAGGAGGAGATCAGTTGTAAGAGCACTTCAACCTTCAAGGATCGTAGAGGTTCTTACAAGAGAAGGTAATTAGTTATAGGTTCTTTAGATCCGGGTAATTAGTTTTAGGGTTCTCTAATTAATTACTACCTAGTTACAATTCATCAACATCTGCATTAACATAGTGTTCAAAGTGATTTTTTTTTCCAGTTAAAGACTCTTTCCATGTATGATTTGATTGTTCAGTCTCAAACATTTGTGTATGAAACGCACAACATTAAAGAGTCCTTTATTTTAGCAATCATCCTCATGCGCGTATGAACAACTGTAATTAATTTGTTCACCACAGTTGTTAGATTTATGTTAACGTGTGAACACTTATAACTATAATTAATTTACTCACAATAGCTGTTAGATTCTGGTGGATAAATATAATTATTTATTTATTTATTCAAGAATGCATAGAATTTCTATTGAGACAAAAAAGTGAAAGACTACCACTTGCTCTCATACATGTTCATGTTTTGCCAATTATGCCAAAATTTGGATGCTTCTGTTGTTCCTTATATATAATGATCTAAATATCCAATACCTATATCCCTCTTACCATGGTAGCATTACCACTTAACCTCAACCTTTCATTTCAAATCAATAGATAAGAATTTTGCCTAATTCGGTAAATTAATATATTAGTTTTAAAGTTCTAACAAAGAGCTGCAACTTCTTGTTCCTTGCAGAAAGACTTCACACTCTTGGATTAGAGACACTCCTGCTTTGACTTACGATGGTCATACATGGAGAAAGTACGGACAAAAAGTTATCCACAATGCCAAGCATTCAAGGTACATACATATGGTAGATTTTTCTAGTAAAATTGTTACAACTGCAATAATTAAAGTGGTAATAGTTTCAAGATTGAAGTTGACCATAGTTATATGTGTTGCATATATGCAGAAACTACTTCAGATGCACTCACAAATCCGAGTGCAAAGCAACCAAACACATGCAACAAATTCAAGATCATCCACCAATGTTTCGGACCACATATTTTGGGAATCACACCTGCAGAGACTACCTCAGCACTTCGGAATTGGTCTTGGATTCCACAAGTCCTAAAGATTCTTCGAAGTTCATTTGTTTTGACAAGGCCAACTGTTCAACAAACAAAGAAGAGCACCCCTTTTTCTCATCCTTCACTTCATCGATTAAAAATGAAGTGTTCGTCAAAGAAGATATGCCAACAACTGATCATACGGTGAAAAGCAACCACAACCATTCATCACCACGTGATCATCTTGTGTCAAATGATCTGACGGTGTTCGAGTCCTCTGGTCCCATGAGCGGGTTTTCATATGATTATGACAACATGTTTTCAAAGGTTGTTGAGTCTTACTTTGATAATGAAGTTTTGCAATACGGATTTTGAATTAAGTTTTGATGATGAGTGCGTACTTAATAGCTAGCTACTCCGTGTAGTAAATTGGATTTTACGTTCAGTGATTTGAAGAAACTTGATGCTTTCTTGGTGAAAATCATGTAAACACAGTTATTTTCGAAAAGAAAAAAAAAACGAAAAGAAGAAGCAACCTTTTTCTATTTCTTCTTGTGAAGTGATTAATGGAAGCTTAATTATGCTCAACATATACTTTTTTTCATATACAATGCATGACAATTCTTAATCAAATTTATCTATCTGATAAAGTTTGATACGGTCTATTAATAGGAACAAAATGCACAAAATTAAAGAAAATTAAAGAAAAAAAGAAAAAAAGAAAAAAAGAACCCCATAGTTTTAGAATTTTCCTTTTATTGTTAATATGTTTTATTGGTAAAAATAAAATTATTATATAAGAAGTGCACAATAAAATCTTTAAAGTGTCAATAATACCACTCAACTATATATTTTTTTATCGTTTTCAAATCTCAAAATTGTTTGTGGGAGATGCCTTAAATTATCCTTTGTCGTCTAATTAGGCTTTTGGATTACAAAGGTTTATGATAATATTAAAAGAAAATTTTAAAAATAGGATAATGAAAGTAATTTTGGCGTATAGTGAGGCACCTACTTAAGAATGGGTTGGGAATTTTGAGTTTAATTTCCAAAAAGGATTCTTAGAGCATTTTCAATGCAAGACTCAAATTTTGAATCTATATTTTTATATTTGGGTTGTAAAAAGATAGTGAATTTATGTATTGTGGTTTTCTCGTCCCATGTAAAGACTAATTAAGTCTTAAGACTCATTTAGAGTTTTAAGATTTGAGTTTTTGCATTGAAGTAGAAAATATTGGACTCAAAACATATATTTCAATTTTAACAGTTTGAATTTGTGCATCGGAGATGATTGGCTCAAAACTCAAATCTCATTTTTCTTGAATGAATAACATTTTCTCTAGTGGCATGGGTTCCACATTGGACTCAAATCTCATATTTTGGGTCTCACTTTGCCTCAAAAGTTCAAAACTCAATATGAGTGGCATTTGAGAGATGCTTTGTATTTGGACTAAAATATAATATTTGAGTCCTTGCATTGGAAATGCTCTTAGTGGGGAAATCTTTTTGGGAGGAACATAGAAGGGCACATGGTGAAAGACTTGTCCGACATGGGTACATCGTCATGGTGGCGTCTTGTGCTAATAAAATAAAGACATGTGAAAATTTATTCTCGTGCCTTTATGTCATAGCACGTGATGCCATGTAGAATCAATGTCATGTAACTTGTTCTCATGACACATGACCTTATTATGTAATTTCACGGAAAGAAGAGAAATAAATCACTCTCTATTTAATATAGATTTCTTAAACGTGAATCGGAAAATTTGAGTTCAGTAAAATAAGTCCAATTATCGAGTGTAATGCATAGATGCGATCATTTTTATTTTTTATAAAATAAGGATCACACTTATTAAACTCACCGCTATAATAAGAGTGTTAATTGAAATTAACGCGTATAAGCTGCTGTTGAATTTTAAATAAAAGTTCTATTATGCTTCTAACAAAAGCAGTAAAAGTAGAAGTATTTTTCACAAAAGCATTTCTAAACTGGTCTCATTTTGAAATTTGTTGATGGTGTTTTTCCTGGAAAAAAAATCTACCCCAATTCCGATGGACCTTGATAACAACTAAAGCTTAAAGGTGAGTTAGTATAAAATTCCTAATCAAATTACCGGGCACGGTACTGGATGATCTCTTGTATTGACAAGTTTTTGGCATCATATTACAAACCATATCTTCCAAATAATAAAAAATCTAGTAGCATGCAACCATTCCTCCCTTCTCGTTGACATGATCAAACTATTATAACTTGATACAAAATTCTGAGCAGTGTGAACCCATTCCTGGGGTGACCGGAATTTTCGGCAACAAATGTGCTAATATTGCGATATCAATAACTGGTCCAATTTTCTAGTCCGTACAGTACAGCATCACAGCTAGCTGTTTTTGGCTTCAGATTCAAGGATCATGAAACTTTGTTAATAGCACATGACTCTAAAGTCTGCATGCACATGCAACCACCATCAATCATTTTACATTGTCAAGGCTTGTTGGAGTTACTTGAAATTGAATTTTGGAGGCTTTTCTTTCTATTTCTTTACCCAGGAAAGGTAGCTTTTCATCATTTATCTTTTACATATTTGCTTAACTGCAGAAGAAAAAAGAGGTCACAAAAGGGTTTAGGGTTAGAGTTGTCACAAAAGATACTCACTAATTAGAACTAATAGGTTAACTGCAGCAGAAAAAAGAGGTTACAGAAGGGTTTAGGGTTTAATGATTTCACAAACCATACTAATTAGTATTAAAAGGTTAACTGCAGCAGAAGAAAGAGGTCACAAAAGGGTTTAGAAGAAGTTTAGTTAGAATCAATGATTTTACATGTGGTCCAATATTTAGTGGATATGATGTTGGATTTCTACCCATGCGTTATGGGTTCAAAACACTCCCTTTCTTAAATTATTGTAATACTTTAGAATTCTTTTCCTCTCCCTAATAAAGTAAAATTTTTATTAGAAAAAGGTCACAAAAAAGTTTAGGGTTTACGGATTTCACAAAACACAATCATTAATTATAATTAATAGTTCAAATCGCTCTTTTGACACAATAAAAAAGTATACTCAATAATGTAAAATTCATTATTTTTTCTACTTGCAAAATTCCACTCTGAAACAGAGGTAACTTACTAAAAACGCAAAACTTAAAAGTTTAAATAACTCTTTATAGACACGAGTTAAGCATTGTCTTTCAAAATTCGTTGACATTTTGAACCGTCCAAATTAGGGTTTATGCTAGACGACTGAAGACCATTGATTAATTGGCCGATCCTACACTGTGAAGAGGGTCCACTTCATTCAAGAGCAGAATAATCCACTCACATGGGCAAGGGTGTGTAAGCACGAAATCTACTTCCTTTGACAATTAAGGTGTGTAATCAAGACAACTATAAATTTTAAAATTGGCTTCAAGAGCTTTATCTACTTGTCATGGTGTAATTGATTCTTGGTTTGAAATCTTTCTCGATTATCAAGTTAATTAGTTGGTTTTTTTTTCCTTAATGAATGAGTTTAAAGTGTAATGTTATAATTGATGAATAAACCATCTATCACACACATGTCTTGACTCCTTTATAGTTAAGTGGCAACAAATAGTGTGAACAATATCTTGACTCTTTAGTATGTTACTATGAAACCCATTTCAAGATTATTGTCGATGCTAAACACAAGTTTTTATTTCATTGGCTCTTTGTTATGTTGACCGATTAGCGTAGCATTGGCATAATTTTGTTTAAATTCTTTTAAATGAAACAAGATTTTATTATTATTTATTTATGTGAGATGGATGTAATAAATGTGCCCCAGGGCACCCTTTTAATAATGGATGTGAGATCTAACCATATTAATATGAGTAATGCTAAAGAGATCACATGTTTATTCCAAATTCTTGTACTATTTTTTTGTGGAAGTGATATGTACAAACAATATTCAACCAGATAAATTCATTAATTAACGTGACATATACATATCACTTGTCACGTCAGATGATACAAAAAAATGATCTCCCAAGCATTTTATCTTTAATGTGGTACAAGAAGCGATAATGATATTGCTATTGACGAACTCGAACAAGTACCAAGGGTACTGCACCGCTACATTTTACAGTGACCAATACATTAATTTTAGAGATAATTTGTACAAAAATTTATAAAGAATAAATTCCTACACGACTTCTACAAGTGGACATGAATTTTTTATTTTTTGCTAGAGACAGAGAGTTTCTTACCCAACAGGATCCTCTCCGGATCTTCTTTGTGAGGATCTTGGGGATCCGTAAATCGTGTTCATTTATCATACATGGTGTGATCAATTTTTGTCAGGTACTATTTGTGTATAATTTTAAATAAAAAAATTTAAAATGATTTTTGACCGCACGATGTACGATGAACGAACACGATTCACAGATCCCCGGGATCCTCACAAAGAGGATCCGGCGAGGATCTTGATTCATTTCTTACACTTGTGAAATTAGTAACATATAACAAACTAGGCATGTTTTGTGTGGGAAGGAAGTTGAGGTTCCACCATAAAATTAAATGGCAATATGGGGAGTAACACAACTACTTATAAGCACATGCAATGTCCCTTGGTTCCTTGATGTGAGATTCATACTCTCAACACGCCCCCTCAGATGTGGTGAATTTTCAAGCCAAATATGTGGACAACACAAACTGAAAGAAGTGGAGCAGGTGTGGTCGTTGGTCTTTACATGAGGGACAACCTACTCTGATACCATGAAGAAGTTGAGATTCCACCATAAAACCAATTGATAATATATGGAGTAACTCAATTACTTATAATTACATACAATGTCCTTTGTTTTCTCGATTTGGAATTAATACATTCAATAGGGGGAAGAAAAAAAATCAGGCATGTTACCAATTTCTTACACCCAAAAGTTGAACTATCGAACATTTGAAGTAAGTCAATGACTTAATGGTCAAGACTCATGAGTGTAAGAGTAAATTACATAGAACGAGTTCATTACCATGGGCGATAGATCTAATAATGTATTTTCATGCAGAGAAAAACTTGCACATAACAATACTTGGTTGGACAAAAAATCTAGGGAAATACCCAGCAATATGACATTTTCTTAATCTTGGGACATAAATAAGATTTTTTGAATATGCACATGCCATGCACAACAATTGAACATAAATAGGATTTTTTCCACACCTGGAAATGAATCAATTGCCCACGTATATAAATGGGTTATTATTTCTCTCTCTACTCTCTCTCTCCCTCTCTCTCTTTTCTCTCACTTTCTCCCTCATGCACTCTCTCTCCCGTTCTCATTGTGCACACACGGTGCACAGTCATACCGACCAATACTGTCCAAAACAAAGCCACCACCAATTTTATCTCATCCTCACGAGTTCAAAACATCTAGCCTTGTCACGAATCTTATCCACAATTGTTGGGATCAAAACTTAAGCAGGCTACGAATTGTTCGGCCGTTTTCCGGCAACATGACAAACAATCGAGGCTTGAGACCACCAACAGTGGACTCTTATCGAGGGTGGGAACAAAGCCTAGTCATTAACTGCTGGTGCACTCACAGTGTCTGCTGGGAACAAAGCCCACTCTTTC